CAACACTCGCTCAATACATGATATAAATAAAGAATATTAACAATTTAAAAAATATATTAATAAATGAATGGAATTATTTTTTTTACTCGAGTAGAATATTCTAAATAATCGACCCCAAAATTTCTCAATAACATAAGTTCCTCACAACGTATACGATACCAATAAGCGATGTTAATTATAATAGAAATTATTATAAAAACGAACCAATTTCCAGAAGACAGGCCAAAGCCATGCCACATTAATAGATAACCCGCATAGCCTGGATGACGTATATATCTATAAGGACCTGTTTATTAAACTCGAAAATTTTAATAATTTTGAATAATTATAACATAAATCATAATAATAGTATTTAATAAACCTTCAGTTACGATGAATTGTCCTTCACCGATTCTTAAAGTTCTTGTAAAAAATCGATTAATTCTCATTGCATAGGCTCTTAAGCCAAATCCAAACAAAATAAGTATAATTCCACTCCATGATAATATTTCGCGATAAGGCGATTCAATTATACCAATTCCAAGGCTATCATTTAAACCAATGACAATTGACAATATAAATATGGGAACGCCGAGCACAACGATGAAAGCGATATAAACAAACAGTGTAGAGCTTTTATCAGTATCATCGTCTAAATCGAACCTCCTAGTGTCCGCGTTGGGGCGTAAAAATATATCAAGAGAGAAGTTAAATAGAATAAGAATATAAGCTATAATAAGTGGAATATCGTGTGATGTTATAGAACTCATTATTTTGACATAGAGAAAGAGTTCCAAAAGATAATGATAGTTCAAATTTTTGGAAGATCGGAGTATATACAGAAGTATGCAATTAGAAAGAAATTTATGAACTCAAGATTATTCAAGTGTGATTAAGGAAGGCGCATTGAGTTGTATTAACTGTCAGGTGACTATATACCAGAGGTTTTCAATTACAATTGGCTTTTCTTTTCTTTTCTCTTACGTTTATGAATTACATACATAATTCAGAAAAAAAACTACAAGTTGTAATAATAAATATACATATCGATATCTAATACATATAAATAATATATATATATATATATATATACGTATAAATATATAATGAAGAATCGTAATTTATAATCCCAAAATAGTTCTTACATTATTAATTCCTGGTCGTAAGTAACACTTGCCAAACAACCAATATAATCCATGTTAATATAACCACGAAAATTATAGCCTATAAATCAAATATGTAACTTATTATGGGGCTTATACGTAAAAGCTTTTGTAAATATAGTATATTGAATTTTTAATAATTTTATACTTTGCTCATTAAACATCCATCTAAGTACCATGGAATAGCTCTCCGTTCAGGTCGATTTACGGATGATGTTACTGTAAGAGTGACATCATCCGAATTAGAAATTTCGCTGTTTCGAGGAATGAGTTGGTACTCCATTTATATATTTTATTTTATTATATATATTATTAAAAAAAAAAAAAAAGTCGAACGTACGTAGCGTTGTTTTTTATAAGGTATACCCGAAATTTGTGTTACTTTACATATTTGCATGATAGTTTTGTGTTACTTTGGCATCGTTATCGATAAAAAATTTTTAATCAATCTCAGTTATGTAAAATTTTAACACCTTTGTTCTTGAAAAGATCCATATTAAACTTAACCATTTTAGATTTGCCATTTTCGTGAGTACTTCTTCGGATTTAAGCGAAACAATTGTTTTCTTTTTGCAGTGTTTTGATATCAAAAGCCGTTACTATTTAAATAGTAAGATGTCCGCCCCTATTCCTGCATGCTATTCAGACATTGGCAAAGCTGCTAGCGATCTATTAAACAAGGACTATCCGGTCGCAGTCTTCAAACTTGAAACTAAAAATACAGCACCCAATGGTGTGGTAAGCTCAATAAAACGATAAATTCAGATTTATTCTAGATTTCATATTTTTTTTTTTTTTACGCTTAATTCTTTTTTTTTTAGTCCTTTACCCTCTCCGGACAGAAAAATACAAAAACTGGTGACATAAATGGTGAATTTAAAAGCAAGTACCATTATCCTAAGAAAGGTATTACACTCACAGAAACCTGGACGACAAACAATCATTTAAACGCTCAAGTAGAGCTCGAAAACAGTCTTGCAAAGGGTTTAAAATTGGACATGACCGCACATTTCCAGCCTATTACTGGAAATAAGAATATCAAAGGAGGTTTAATTTTCAAACAACCGGGTTTCCATACAAAACTCTATGTCGATGCTCTTAAGGGACCTACTTTTCAGGGAGACGTTGTGATTGGTCATGAAGGATTCCTTATGGGTGGTGAAGCGTGTTACGAGTTTACGGATGGCAAAGTTACTCGCTACGGCGTTTCTGCAGGCTATACAGCTCCTGAATACAATGTTACTCTCAAAGCAACCGATTCCATGTCCGTTTACACCCTTCTATACTATCATCGTGTACATCCTGATATTGAAGCGGGTGCAAAGGCTCATTGGAATACCGCTTCAAACAGTGACAGTGTTAACATGGAAATTGGTGCTAAATATTTTTTAGATCGTGATGCATTTGTAAAAGTACGTGACTGGTATTATTTATGATTGGCACCTTCGGATATAGAAAAATTCATTCTAAATCTAAATTGTTAATCAAAATTTGTAGGCTAAAATTGATAACAATGGTCGTTTGGGTCTTGGATACACTCAAGCTCTCCGTCCAGGTGTTAAGATCTCTCTTGGTGGTAGCATTGATACATCCAAGTTGGGCGAAAATAATCATCGATTTGGAGTATCTCTTAATTTAGAATCCTAATACTTGAATCCTAATACCTGATTCAATTTGATTTATAGATCTGATTTTGGGCGGTAAATTTTGTAGGTTTTGTTTTTCCTTCATATTTGCACCAATATTAAATAATGCGATCAAACTATATATACTTAATGAATTAATAAAAGGATCCCACATACACAAATGCAATATCTGCCTTTCTAAACATTCCAAGCAATAAATATTAAGCCATATTTAAAATGGTGAACTAAACAAACTGAGATCACTAGGTATTATCTGAAGTGTGGCATAGGTCCCGTTTTGACTTACTCTACACGATATTTATTAGACTCTGATCGGACGTATACAATAGCCAATAAAATTTATGCTCCGAACTTAGCATTTCACTTAGCTTGATAATATGTATGATCTACTAATTTAAAAAGCATTTACCTGGACTTGTATTTTTTATTTAAAAAATTACTTATAATTGAAAGGTTACATTTTGAACATACCAAATAAATTATCTAAATTTATATAGAAGTGTGTATTATATAATTATATTTAATAATAAATTTAAAACTATGAAACTCGTACCTATCATCAATTTTTTATTTCCTTGTTAAAAAGGATTCTTTTGTAATATTATGCCGGTAGCATGTTCGCCCAATTAGTTCAACGCCCCCTGCGTTTTCTTTTTCTGTTGTAAGACGAATCTGAACTAACACTTCGTGATGAAGAATCTGATGATTCGGAAGAACTCGAACTTGATCCACTATCACTATCTGAGCCTGAATTAAGATTTGAATTTGTCGAAGAACTTCTTGAAGAATCGGATGACGATGAACCGGATGATGATGAAGATGACGATGATGACGAAGATCTTAATAATTGATGTAAATGTAAGGGCTCGGATGATTAGATAAGAAATTTTAATATTAGGCGCTAAATGTGCGCACTCACAAATCCTATCATTCAGAGACGAAAGCAAATTTGACAAAACTAATGAATGTATCAATAATATATATTGAATCATCTTACCCTGTTTTTCGACGTCTTTTTCTTTTACTTTCTTTTATGTCAACTGGTTTTTCCAACTTTTCCGGCGCTTCCTTTCTGTTCAAAACGACGTGCGTGTTAAAAAATATATACCGCCGGTTATTTAGCAAAAAGATGACTTACTTTATTCCCAATTCGTCTGGAAGTTCAATAGATATTGGTTTTAGTGGTTTTGTAAGCTGCTGAGTTCTAGTCGGACGAGATTTGTATACTCGTTCATTCTTGCATTCATAGGTCTATAGTATAAAATGGTACCTTTAAACATTGCGAAAAAAATTAATATGCATATTACTTTGCTTTTACCCAATGTCCATATTCAAGGCATTTTTGGCATTGAGTTTTGGGTGAAGCTTTAGTGCCTGAGGTCGGATACCTAAATACATTATCATATTATTATCATTCGCTTTAAACAGATTTCTCATTTTGGCTTCAATGACAAGCTCACCTGCGTCCAGAAAAGCTTGCTTTGTTCATTAGAATAAGATATTATTATCTTTTTTTGTCACTACAAATCAATTAGGAGTACGCAACAATACTGTAATAAGTTTCTAGTCAAGTTTTCAAAATTTTAGAGAACATCATGTACCAGTCATGTACCCTCATAGGAAGACAAAGGTCTGATTGGTTAATTTTGTAGATTTTTGTGATAATTAGCCAATCAAATGCATAGCGATAGTTTTTAAAAAAATCAAATTTCTAATATATAAATTATTAATAAAACTATCTTTTATTCTTTATTTGAAGTAGCAACCTTTATTAGAAATGCGACATGATCCTTAGCCTATATAATTAATGAAACAATAACACTTATACATATTATCGACCTACTACTTTACCCAAAGTTACATATATATAGTGCTCCGAACGGGTCGGGTTAGAGAAAATTAACCCGGAAATTTCGGGTCGGGTTCTTACAGGTAGGACCGTCCCGAATATGAAAATGATTCCGATATGATTACACATGCATATGAATTCCCTTATGTCAAGAAAATCGATGTACAAAAATTAGCTCGGAGCCAATAAAAATTGCAGAATCTTGCAGATCTTG